GCGAATTTGGGCAGGAAACCGAAATCAACGAATATGAGGAGGAAGACACCACAGATTTGATGAAACATAGGCCCGTGTGCTACTATGTGATGGACAATGGGGCTGTTGAGGAACAAAATGCGTTCTTCGAACGTCCAGAACCTGCAATGAAGAACCATCTCAAGCCACTTTTCATTCGGGCGAAAGTTGGTGTCCATGGTGTGAACAAAGTTCTAGTGGATGGGGGTGCTGCAGTCAATTTGATACCCCATTTCATGCTAAAAAGATTAGAGATCCGCGAAGGAGACATCAAGCCCCATAATATGGTTCTGTCCAATTATGAGGGAAAAGTGGGCAAAACACTGGGGGTGGTCCAGTTGGAATTGACAATAGGCTCAAGCTGTAGGCCCACCATGTTTATGGTGATCGAAGCCAAGGCCAACTATAACCTACTGCTGGGAAGAGAGTGGATCCATGGCGTGGGGGCAGTTCCTTCGTCAATGCATCAGCGACTAGTTCTGTGGAGAGATGATGGAATCGTGGAAAACATCGAAGCAGACCAGAGTTACTTTATGTTAACTGTCAATTTAGTTGACAAGAGGGATTATGATAAAAATCTGGCAAAGATTGCTCCATGTGTTCCAAATGATGAGATTAATGAAACTAGAAACGCCCACTACTACATGACCCTTCGTCATGATGGCCTTTACTGGGATAGAACAATAATCAGTGAAGAAGAGGAAGTCGAAAGCACTATACAAAAACGGCCATCAGGCTGGGACTTCGACAACCTTAGCCATGACTGAGTCTACCTTTTTCGAAAGGATTTTGGCCTATATGGATGAGAACGAATCAAAAGCGGCCTTAGAGGCTGAAATAAATAAATCAACTATAAAAACGAACGAAGTCAGTGGGGAGGGTTCGAAATGCTCACCCTTCAAGGAGTTTGAGATGGATCAAAGGTTGGATGCCATCTATGATAAAGAATCCTTAGGCTTCGAAAGGGACCCCATAAACTCAGGTGCCAAAATGTTGGCACAGGATCCACTCGAAGAAGTCAACTTAGGGGATGAAAAAACGAAAAGAGTAACCTACATAAGTGCTAAACTTAGCCCAGGCCTCAAGAAGGAAGTGATCGAAGTCCTTAAGGAAAACAAAGATTGCTTCGCATGGGATTATAACGAGATGCCTGGTTTAAAGAGGGAGTTGGTCGAACACAGACTGCCAATCAAAGATGGCAAGAGGCCCATCAAACAAACTCCCAGAAGATTCGCACCAGCGGTTCTCACAAAAATTAAAGCTGAGATCGAAAGGTTGATGCGTTGCAAATTCATCAGGACAACAAGGTACGTCGAATGGTTAGCAAACATAGTACCCGTTATTAAGAAAAATGGTTCTTTAAGAATTTGCATAGATTTTAGGGATTTAAACACTGCAACCCCTAAAGATGAATATTCCATGCCCGTAGCAGAAATGCTAGTAGATTCTGCTGCAGGGTTCGAATACTTGAGTATGTTAGATGGATACTCTGGGTATAACCAGATTTTCATTGCTGAAGAAGATGTTGCAAAGACAGCATTTCGTTGCCCAGGAGCCTTAGGCACCTACGAATGGGTGGTGATGCCTTTTGGTTTAAAGAATGCTGGGGCACTTATCAAAGGGCAATGAATTCAATTTTTCATGATTTCATTGAAACCTTCATGCAGGTGTATATTGACGATATAGTCATCAAATCTATATCTGCAGAAACACATTTGCATCATTTAAGCCAATCATTCGAGCGGATGAGAAAACATGGCTTAAAGATGAATCCCCTTAAATGTGCATTTTTTGTGCAGGCTGGAGATTTTCTTGGTTTTGTGGTTCACAAGAAAGGAATCGAAATCAACCAGAACAAAACCAAAGCCATAATGGAGACGAAAGCACCTGCGTCAAAAAGGGAGTTGCAATCTCTGCTAGGAAAAATTAACTTCCTCAGAAGATTCATCTCGAACCTAAGTGGAAGAACCCAAGCTTTCTCTCCGTTACTTCGTCTAAAGCAAGGTCAAGCCTTCGAATGGAACGAAGCTCACCAGGAGGCGTTTGATAGAATAAAAGAATACCTTTCTCAGCCTCCTATTTTGTCTCCACCTTCATGGGGGAAGCCCATGAGATTGTACATATCTGCCTCTGAAGTTAGTATAGGTAGTATGCTAGCACAAGAGGATAGCAATGGCGTCGAAAGAGCCATATACTATTTAAGTAGAGTGCTAAATGATGCAGAGACCAGATATAGCAATTTAGAAAAGCTATGTCTCTGTTTGTATTTCTCTTGTATGAAACTCAAGTATTATATAAAGCCTGTTGATGTTTATGTTTCATCTCATTTCGATGTCATTAAACATATGCTTTCAAAACCAATAATGCATAGCAGAGTTGGCAAGTGGGCTTTAGCCTTAACAGAATATTCGTTGACTTTCATGCCTTTAAAAGCTATGAAAGGTCAAGTGATTTCTGACTTCATTGTGGACCATTCGTTGGTTGAGCAGACGGTCATGAGTTACGACGAAATGCAACCATGGAAATTGTACTTTGATGGTTCAACCCACAGGAATGGAAGTGGTGTTGGAGTCCTTCTGATTTCTCCTGAAGGAATTCCAACAAAATTCAAGTATAAATTAAATGGTCCTCGTTGTTCAAACAACGAAGCTGAGTATGAAGCGCTCATTGTTGGACTTGAAGCTTTGTTGGAATTGGGGGCAACCAGAGTCGAAATTAAAGGAGACTCTGAATTAGTGGTCAAACAAATCACAAAGGGATACAAGTGCATAAAGGAAAATTTAATGGTATACTTCGTCATAGTCAATAGGCTATTAAGGAAATTTGAATACATGGATATTCAACACATACCAAGAATAGAGAACCAAGAAGCAAATGACTTAGCGCAGTTGGCTTCAGGGTATAAAGTGTCTACCAAGAACTTCAAGGATTTGGTCGAATTAAGGGGAAGAGTTATGGCTACTAGATTCACACCATCGGATCTGGAAAGTATGAGATTGGGATATGCTGAGAAACATGGATTCGAAATACTAGCCATAAATACTTTGTCAGATGCAGATTGGCGAAGTCCATTGAAGAGTTATTTAGCAGACCCAACTCTAAAGGTGGATAGAAAAACAAAATATAGAGCATTGTCATATCTCCTCATGGGGAACGAATTGTTTAAAAAGACCCAAGAGGGTGTATTATTGAAATGCCTAGGAGAAAGTGAGGCATACTTAGCATTGTCTGAAGTCCATAATGGGGCATGTGGGGCACATCAAGCAGGCCATAAAATGAAATGGTTGCTATTTCGATACGGTTTGTATTGGCCTAGCATGCTCAAAGATTGCATAGACTTTGCTAAAGGATGTGAGGAATGTCAGAAGCATGCAGGAATTCAACATGCCCCTGCAAGCGAGTTGCATTCGATCATCAAACCATGGCCATTTAGAGGATGGGCATTGGATTTGATAGGAGAAATAAACCCTGCTTCGTCCAAAGGACAGAAATACATCTTGGTGGGAGTAGATTATTTTACCAAATGGATCGAAGCTATACCACTGGTAGTTGCTGATCAAGAGGCAATTATTGAATTTATACAAAAGCACATTATCTATAGATTCGGATTGCCAAAGAGCATAACTACAGACCAAGGCTCTGTGTTTACTGGTAGAAAGATGCAAGGATTTGCCCAAGAAATGGGGTTTAGATTGCTAACATCAACGCCATATTATGCTCAAGCAAACGGACAAGTCGAAGCAGCAAATAAAGTAATAATAGGATTAATCAAGAAGCATATTGGCAAGAAGCCAAGAAACTGGTACAAAACTCTGGACCAAATATTATGGGCTTGTAGAACATCTCCTAAGGAAGCTACTAACACTACGCCTTTCCAACTCACATTTGGTCATGATGCAGTGTTGCCAGTAGAAATTCATCTACAATCAGTGCGAATTCAGAGACAAAACGAAATCCCAACTGCATTATATTGGGAAATGATAATGAATGAATTAGTTGAGTTGGACGAAATTAGGTTACATGCGTTGGAAATTTTGATGAGGCAAAAAGAAAGAGTGGCCAGAACATACAATAAAAGGGTGAAGAAAAAAGTATTCATTATTAATGACTTGGTTTGGAGAGTCATATTGCCCATGGACAAGAAGAATAAAGCGTTAGGTAAATGGTCACCTCATTGGGAAGGACCTTTTCGAATATTAAAAGTGTTCTCAAACAATGCATACGAAATCGAAGAACTCATGGATGATAAACGTGTCCTAAAGGTTAATGGGAAATATTTAAAGAAATATAAGCCAAGCCTGCGGGAGATTCGAATAGTAACAACGTAAACAAGATATTATAAAAAGCCAAGATGGCAAGATAAAATGCCAAAATGGCGTTGTTCGAATATTACATGTAAGAAACCAAAATTATAGTCAAATAAACATCAAAATCTAGAAATAAGAATTATTTTTCAATCGATTAAAAGTGCTTCGAAATGATTCAAGTTTCTGCTGAGCGAACCGCCTGGCTCCTTCCAAGGTCGCCACTTCTCTTTTAAGTTGTTCTGCAGTCTCCATTTCTGCAAGCCCCTGGTTGAGAAGCTCTTCGAATTGGTTACCAGCAGAATTGGTTTCAAAGGCTAGTTGTTGTTCTTTAGCCTCCTTAACTTTCTGTTGAAGTTCCAGAATCTGCCTTTCCCAAAGAAGGATGGACTCAGCTCGAGCCTCATAATCAGTTTTCGCCTGCTTCAGATGCATAGCTTGATCCTCAGCTTCCTGAGAGAGTTTCGAAGCTTGTTCATAAGCGGCATCCATGGCAATGCGTTTCTCATGAACCTTCTTGGCAGCAGATTCGTCTTGGAGAAGGTAACCAGTTACGTTGTCCAGAAAATTCTGAAGATCGAACAAGAGAGTACTAACTGGCAAGGAGCAGGTGGAAAGATTGACCTTTGTGAGCAGCTCCTTCATAGTATAGCAAGCAGTACTATCTTGCTTAAGAACTTAGAATATATCCACATTGAGAATGGTTTTCCTAATTTTGTTAAGAAGAACAATTCTTTCATCTGTGGGAAGAGGATAGCTGGTCGAACTTGTGCCAGCCCTAGCGAGTGGGACGTCCCTCTGAGCCAACTTTGCCTTCATGTACCCAATAGGGTCATTTCGTCTCAGAAGTGCCAGTTCCTCGTCAGTCATTCGAGACAGAGAGGATTGAGGGAGTTCCACGCGTAGGGGAACCACGTTTGTTTCAACCTCTAGGGGTTCGTTGGTTGCATTACCATCCCCTTCATTCGTTTCGTGCTCTTGGTCTTCTTCATCCTCGTCCAAGTCTACCACTTCGATACCATCCCTTTCACTGCTATTTGCGTTGGACTCCGTCCCAGCAGTCGAACCGTCATTGGCATTTTCCTCCTCGGATTCTTCGTCTGCAGATTCTTCGGCTCTTTGCCCAGAATCAGCTTTCTCTTCTTCAGTTTGAGTGTCCTTTGGGTCCTCTTGAAGAGTTTCGAGAGGGGACTTTTGAAGAGGAGCCTTTTGCAAATCCTCTGCAGACGTTTGAAGTGTTGTTTCGATTATCTCTTTCAAAGGAATGGAGGTACCTTGATCATCCTGCTGTTCAGAAGTTCCAGCCAGAACCGCCATATTGGAGGAACCTTTATTTTGAACCAGGTTGCTGGAATCTCCTTGAGGAGAGGAGTTGAGCGGAGCAGCAGCTCTGGATGGTGAGTTCGAAATAGTGGAAGCTGGATTCAAGATGTTCTGCGAGGAACAACAGAATGTTAAAAACATTCACCAAGGTAATAAGAAGTTAGTATTGTACAAAATTTAAAAGTTCAATTTACCTGTGGACTCTCGGAGGAGAGGTTACTAGCTATACATTCCAACGGTGGGTTGGAGGTTGAAGGTGGATTTTTGGATTTGGGAGAGGGAGCAGCATCCCTGGAATCAAGTCCAGAGACACTAGGTGGAACGGTACTTTTTGAAATATCTTTCCTTGGTTTCTTCTTCGAAGCAGTATTTAAGTTTCCTCCAGCCTTGGGATCTTCCCCAGTGGTGCTTGATTTCCGCTTCTTGGGAGTAGGAGGAGGAAGCTTATCGGTCTGAAAAGATTTTAAACGAAGAGTTAGATGCAAACCATAAAGCATGAGTGAATTCGAAACATCAAGGCTAAGTGATTACCGTTGGAATTGGAACACTGGTTGTTGTTGGTATTATTGTTGTTGTTGTGGTTGCAGCAGTAGTAGTTGTTTCGGGAGGAGTCACTTTGTCAGTAGTTTCGATGGAGGCTTGAGAGGCACTCCCTTCTTTCGACTTCGAGGCAGCTGTCTTTATCCTGATAGCTGAAAATCGAAACAATTAAAGCAAAGGTTAAAGATATGGAAAATAAAAGACATTTGGGATTTTCCCAAGCATTCGCACCTGTGCCTTGATCAGATTTAATTGACATGGCAGAAAGGTCGTATCGAAGGTGTCTTGGGAAATCATGAAGCCAGTATCGAGCCCATGTCACAGTCTCAGATGGCTTTGGTTTCCTTTGAAGATATTTGAACATCTCTTTGCAAGTAAACCACCATGGATATGGGGGAAACCAAGCCAGAGCCAGTTCTGAGGTAGGTAATCTGGGAAATTTAGGTGGATGCATTTCGAATGCCAACCTATACCTATCCTCAGGTGACAGCCCTGAAGGAAGTTTTAACTTAGAAACTTTTTGTTTAAATTTTTCCTTCAAGGTCTCAGCTGCTTGATGCACAGTGGAGTCCAAGCGCGTGGGGTCGTAAGTAGTTTCAAAATAATTTTGGAAAGCTTTAATCTCTTTGGCATGAGTAAACATACCTTTCTTTGTTGGTACCTGCACATCGAAGGCATCAATTAGTTTCTGTCGAATTGTAAGTGTATCGAACATATAAGTTTGATAAAACTTGATCCACCACTCTAGAAATCCTTTAGCCGCGAGATGGGTAGGTTCGAAGGTTATCAGCTCAAATTGGGCAAAGCCTTGATATTGTTCTTGCTGTATTTTGGCTTCCCGTGCCTTGAAAGTTCGTTCAGAAGTGATGGCGCTCTCAGTTTGAAATAAAGGTTCAGGAATCAGTTGGCATAAGCCAAACTGCCTCGAAACGAAGTTTGGTTGGTAGGGCAAAGATAAAAATTTGGTTCTTGGCTGGGGTTATTCTTGAAGAAATGAGTCTAGGCATCAAAAAAGCTCTCCATACATCCTGAATCTCCTTGCTCTTGATAGCTTCTGAGAGAGCCATGGTGAACCAAGAAGGTCCATGAGCCCTCGAAGCAAAAGGCGCCATGCTCTCTTAGAACTTGTGCCTTTTGGAGAATATCATGATGTACTTCGAGAATTGAACTTTGAAGTCATCTTTGTCGTCATTGGGAGTTAATCTTCGAAGCCTAGTGCCTTCGACTATCCTATCACTTATCTCAGAATCTTGCTCATCGATGGTGTTGGCGGTTGATAAGGAGGGTTCGAACATGGCATTTAGCCATAGTTGGAGTAACCAAAAGGGGCCAGCCAATAGAATATTTTTGGAGGTGTGGGATTTGAGGCTCGAAACAGCTGACCTCAGGCTTTCATAGAGGTCAACTAAGAGCAGTTCACTTAGGCACACTTTTCGATTTTCATGCAAATCCCTAGCTAGAGGAATGAACCTACTAGCTACCTGTAGGGATCTACTGCAGAAAACGTATCTTGACAGCCACAGGGTTAAGAAAGCAATATGCTCTACGTCAGATACATTGTCCCCCTCAGCATGGTAATGACTGATAAATTTGGAAAAACTGGCTAGCTTGACTTCGAAGTCAATTATGCTTGAGTGCTCTTCGTTGTCGGGTATATAAGTTTCTCCCACTGGCGATAGCCCAGTGATGGCCGCTATGTCGAAGAAGGTTGGGGTGATCATTCCACCTGGGAGATGGAAAGTGTTATAGGTACTGTCCCAGAAATAAAGGGACGCGAATAGCAGAGGGTGGCTGTAGGTGAAACCAGGCTTCGATAGCTTAATCAGGTTATAGATGCCTAATTCTTCCCATTGCTGGGATTTCTTGGCTTCTACTTTCGTGAACCAATTTTGATAAGCAATATCAGAGGTGGGGCAAGATCGAAATGGCTTAAAATTACTTTTTACATAATCCAAAACAAAGGGGTCCTTAGGAGGAACAGTTGGGGTTTCTATGGTATTTGAACTAGGAGATTCTACTACCTTAGGGGCGTCCATTTTGTTAAATAAGGGTTTGAAGCTATAACAAACTGGGAAAATCGTCCTGGTGTCCTTTAATATTTCAAAAACCGTAAGAGGGCCATTTAAAGCTAACCTCTTACCAGCAACGTGGGTAGGAATGTGTACCTGTGACGCATACAACATTTCTTTTTCTTTTGAAATCATCTGAGGGGCAAGAGCAGATTGACCTTGGAGGGTGATGATTTTACTTTCCATGGTAGCTCCTGCAGTTTTTCCTTTCTTCTTGGAGACTTTCTTGAGTTGGGATGAAGTAGAAGAAGACATTTTTTGAAAGATGTTGAAAGCTTGGATTGTTTTACGAGAGAAGGAGGGTAAAAGATTTAGAAGATGAAAGATTTAGAGTGTGAAAAGAAAAGAAGAAGATTAAGTTGATGTTTTATAATGGGGAAGTTTAAGCATCCACCGAATAAAGGTGTGATACGTGGAGATAATGGGTTGGTGTGATGAAGAGGTGGCGTAAAGTTAACATAGGTAATAGGCGTGATTTAAAGATAATCATTATTTGTAACTGCACCACGCTGTGAAGTGGCTCCAGGCGGTTAAGAAATCCAAAAGGTGCTATGATTGACGTGACTGGAGTCAAATGCATTAAATGTTACGATGATTCGAAAGTCCCATCAAAATCTTGTGTAGGTGTTTAAAATAGGTATTTCTCAGAGGAATCGAAATACATATTTTAAAGGGGCAATTTGTTGGCTGAAGATTTTGATAATGTTATTAGAAGCTAAATGAATTAAACGTTTTGATCGAAATGAGGTGAAGCGTCATATTTCGAAGTAGCAGAAGCAATGTTTCGAATAAGTGTGTCAAAGCTTGGAGCTTCGAGTGGCAATTATGGGAACATATCTAAAGAAGTCTCGAAACAACAACAAGGCTGTGTCTGGGAAGAGCGTTCGAAACGGAGAAGCACCAAAGCATTTGAAATTCAAATGGAAGCGGGACTTTCGAAGTTTGAAAATTATGTGTTGGAACATTTGGGGACACGTGGAAAGATGAAAGAGGCATTGTCCTGCATGTTCTAAACGTGGCATAATCCTATAGCAAGACCGTTATGGTCGAATTAGTATAAATAGAAGTCTTAGTATTAGGATTTCGTGTGTCATATCTATTATACAAAATACTCAATAACATTCAAACTACCACATGGCAAGGGAAACGAATGCAAGAGAAATGTATGTATGATAGCACCATGTATTTTTGATTTAATGAAAACCTTTTACCGTTTCCAGTACTTTCCTTTATCCTTTTTGTCAAATAACCTTTACAAGTTTTCTTATTTACAATCTTTTCACTTCGAAATCTCTTCTTCAAAGTTTTATATTTTAATGTTTTCTTCATATTTCGAGCACTTTATATCTCAGAAAACTGTCATATTTTTCATACCTTTACTTTCAAGCCTTAAAATCAAACCTTTTACGTTCCAGAAATCCTTTATATTAACTGTTTTGTAAGTCGAAACCATTTACTTCACTTTTATGCAGTTTTACATGTCTTTACAATTAGCATTACAATTAGCACTTATTCATGTAACTTAGTTTTCACACCCATCTTGATCACATCTTTAGACTTTTAGAGAGAGAAATCGAAATAAGCCAAACACATATACAATATCAACCATGAATATCTGTTCGATCGTGAGAGTAACCTTAATATCCAAGGAGTCCTAGGATCAATCTAGTCGATCCTGTGAGTTACCAGAGGAATTGAATAACAGTCAGAAAGATTATTCGATAGTTTGGAAGACTAGCGGTTGTTTACCAGAAATCACTGGAAACAATGGGATTTTGACTTAAGAGGTCAATATTCATAGGGGTCTTAAGTAATGGGTCCATGTGCCTCCTTTCTTTTCCTTCTAGTCATTGAGTGGGTTTGTGGATCCTTATCGAGAATATGTATTTTAGGCTTGTTTTCGTGTTTTATTTTCTAATGTAGTTGTTTCACATCTACAATATACGCCTGATACCCATTTCATGGGAGAAACTACTACAAACAACCTCACCAAGAGTAATCTCATATAGGTTAATGTTTTTATTGACTTCTTGAGGATGGTTTAAATATTTCTAAATTGCAAGATGGGATTTTCCTTTAGATATCTAGGCCTCTAGGTGGGTCTTAACATTCATCTTGAATCGATGTGGAAGCCTCTTATCTCTTGAATCTCTAATAGGTATGACTTGTTATGTAATGGGTTTATTAGCTCGGGAGATAAAGTGGTGTTGATTGATTTAGTTTTGAACGTTATTCCCATCTTTTAATTATCTTACATGAAGATGTTATTAAAGGTATGAAAAAATATTGTTAGGATTCAAAGGAGGCTTATTTGTTGGTGGAACGAAAGGGTTTCAATGATTTCCTATGTTAGGTGGTCAGTTGTGTGTAAGCCTAAAATAGAGGTGGGCTCGATGTGAGAGACTTGCACAGGTTAACCTAACTCTTTTTGGTAAGTGCTATTATATTTTGATCATGGACGATTGTGACGTGTGACATGAGATCTTATTATTCACTATGGTTTTTTAAACTATTTTGAGCCTTGCTGGTGGTAGGGTAGTATATTTTACGAGAACTTCATCTTATTGGAAAAGTGTTTCCCTCCTAGACTCTGATCAGTCAGCTAATTAAACTTGGTTCTCTAAAAGTTTCACTAAAAAACTAGTTGACGATCATCATACTTATTTTTTATAAGACACATGGGTAATGTAGGGGCAATTCCGAGGAGAGAGCATTTTACTTGGGACACACCTTTGTGAGAGACACACCACTTGTCCATCTAAAACCTTAAGGTGATAGATGAGTGGATGTTCTCACTTATAAAGTGCTCAATCTTCTCTTTTATAATCAATGTGGGAATTCTTCCTCACACTTGATTCTCAACACTCCCCCTCAAGTGTGAGTCACAATGCTCCCCCTCATGTGGAATGACTCTCTTCCACATACACTTGTACCACCGCTTGATACAAGTAAGTCGGTCCCTATCTCGAAACCAAAGACTCATGATACCACTGTAGGGGCAATTCCGAGGAGAGAGCATTTTACTTGGGACACACCTTTGTGAGAGACACACCACTTGTCCATCTAAAACCTGAATTTCTACCACAATGACAATTTAATTATGAGACAAACAAAGAAAAGAAGACAAGACAAATATTTCTGCAGAGTTTCTCTCTGCCCACAAACTGTGGAAAACTTTCTTAATCACTTGCAACTGCAAATTCTGTGATTACAATGAATTGACTTACTTGACTTACTTTTAAAAATAGGGGTTACTCCCTCTATTTATAACTGAGCTTACACCCTAAGCCCAAAGCCCAAAATATCTTTTTGTTACTAAATCAAATCAAATCAAATCTATTCTGGACTTAAATCAAATCTATTTAAACCTAAAATAAATCAAATCTGACTTCAGTCGAAAGCTATGGACTTACCTGATCAAGAAGAAAAGTGAAGTGATGCAAAGCTTGCAAAACATGAAGACTGTAGGGGCAATTCTGAGGAGAGAGCATTTTACTTGGGACACACCTTTGTGAGAGACACGCCACTTGTCTATCTAAAACCTTAAGGTGATAGATGAGTGGGTTCTCTCACTTATAAGTGTTCAATCTTCCCTTTTTATAATCAATGTGGGACTTCTTCCTCACACTTGGTTCTCAACACTCCCCCTCAAGTGTGAGTCACAATGCTCCCCCTCATGTGGAATGACTCTCTTCCATATACACTTGTACCACCGCTTGATACAAGTAAGTCGGTCCCTATCTCGAAACCAAAGGCTCATGATACCACTGTAGGGGCAATTCCAAGGAGAGAGCATTTTACTTGGGACACACCTTTGTGAGAGACACACCACTTGTCCATCTAAAACCTTAAGGTGATAGATGAGTGAGTTCTCTCACTTATAAGTGCTCAATCTTCCCTTTTTATAATCAATGTGAGACTTCTTTCTCACACTTGATTCTCAACAGGTAAGACCTGTTATTATTAAAAATTGCTTTAAGAGGTTTTTCAAATTTCTATTAAAAGAGATTTTTGGTGAGTTGGATGGGCTCTTAGGATGAGAGTGACGTTGTTTGGGACTTTAGGTTTAGGTGGAGGAGAGGCCTTTTATTTAGGATAAAGAACGAGTGAGTAGTTTGGTATTAACTATCAAGGATGTCGTTCCCTATAGAGATTACATATTTTTCTTTGGCTTCATGAACCTAGGGGTGGAAACTCTATTAGGTCAGGATACCTTACTATTCTTGTTCAAAACTTAAAGAAGGAATGCCCAGCTAGCATTATCACTTCTTATTTCCCTCTAGCCTGGAAGAGTTAAGCATCTTACAAATCAAAGGTGTTTTCTTGGCAACTATTGCAAGAAATGATTCAAACTTGGCAAAAATATGTTTAGGGTGAGGGTTTTACTAGACCCTGTTATTATCTTTTGTGATATTTGTCGGACGTGTGAGGAGTTGGTGGATAATATATTTGTATTATGTGAGTTTAGTGTGGTTTTTTAGTGTAAATTCTTTAGGTGGTTAGTGTGAACATTGGTTTTACCTATGGAGTTAGGGTCCTTGTTTTAATTTTTAGAACGTTATGGCATGGGTTCAAGATTATAGCTATTTTTTACTATAGTTTGACATTTAAGCTTATTAATCTTTTATTACTTTTTCCTTTTCATTTTTTGCCACACTAATACACCCATAATCCTATAATTATCTTCTCATTTTATTTTATTTTTTCACTTTAATTACTTTTTTATATCTTTCTTTAATTACTAAACAAAGTATGAATAAAATTACAGTGGATCTTACATTCTTTAAATGACGAGAAATGTGTGAAGATATTGAAGAAGTGCAAGGAATCGCTGAAAAAGAAAGATAAAAAAGGGAAGGTGATTATCATAGATATGGTGTTGGAAAATGAAAATGAAAATATTAATGAAGTAGTTGAAACACAACTCTTCTTTGATATGTTGATGATGGTAAATCCCGCTGGAAAAGAGAGAAATAAGAAAGAATGGATTAAGTTGATTTTATCGGCTGGTTTTAGTGATTATAAAATTACCCCAATTTTAGGTTTAAGATCCATAATTGAGGTCTATCCGTAATAAAAATGATCCAATTATTATAATCATTTGAAGTTATTGATTTGCTAATATTAATATATGTAACAATAATAATATTTTGAATGATCATGTATTCATGCTGGTGTTTTTTTATGGTAATCAAATCATTAAAAAATATGTTTAATTGTTATTTGTTATTGCACATGAAAATTATTCCACCATTGTCCTTTATTAAATACTGAATTTATCTTCAAGGCTGGATTTGAGCGTATTAGAGGTGTTTATAGTAAATAAAAGAATTGAGAGGTGCAGAATGAAAGAAGGAAAATGTGCCTTAGCACTTATATAAATGATATATGAGTGTGTAACAGAATTAAACAATAAAAGTTTTTCTTTTCATATCATTCTTTAACTTTTCTCTGCATTCTTTCTAGTTGTAATTCACTTTTCATGGTGATTGTGCAAGATTCAATATGGTAACAGTAGAATTTTTCTTCAAATCTTGAATTCACAAGATTTGAGTTCCATTTTCGCGTTTCACTCTCCCTTCACAGTCTCCACTGTTTCTTCGTTCACATCATCATGGAAGATCAACAACAAAATTCATTTTTCATCCATCATTCTGATCATCTTGGTCTGGTTTTGGTATCTCACCTCTTGACGGAAGAGAACTACCCGTCGTGGCATCGTGATATGCTCATAGCTCTCCATGCAAAGAATAAGATCAGATTTGTTGAGGTTCAAGATATCTAATAATAGATGGTGATTCATACCCGACGTATATTTTGAATCTCCTTTGAGGTCCCATCTTTGTTCTTTGTGATGGAGCTATTGGGACATATATTACATAACCAAAAATCTTTAAATGTGAAATATTAGGTTCCTTACCAATTGCAAGTTGATAAGGGGTATGTTTATAGTCAGCACTTGGCCTTAAACGTATGAGTATTGCAGCATGTAAAATTGCATGACCCCAAACAGTAACTGGCAGTTTAGTTCTCATTATCAATGGTCTAGCAATATATTGAAGAAGTTTAATTAATGACTCAGCTAAACCATTTTGTGTATGCACATGAGGAACAAGATGTTCAACAACAATTTCGATTGACATGCAACAATTATTAAATGATTCATATGTAAATTCACCAGTATTGTCAAGTCTGATTTTCTTTATGGTATAATCAAGGAATTGAGCTCTTAGTTTAATTATTTGTGCAAGAAATTTTGCAAAAGCCATATCACGACTTGACAATAAACATACATATGATCATCTACTAGATGCATCAATTAATACCAAAAAGTACCTGAATGATTCTGACAGTAGATGAATAGGTCCACATATATCACCTTGAATTCTTTCAAGAAATATAGATGATTCTGTCTGAATCTTTCATGGTGAATGATTTGTTATTAGTTTGTCAAGAGAGCAAGCTTCACATGTTCTATCTTCTTTTGTAAGTTTTAAACATTTCAATGGATGACCATGTGTACTTTCAACTATTTTATGCATCATTGTTGAACCAGGGTGACCTAGACGGTCATGCCATAAATTCACAATTTTGGGGTATTTTTTTACTACTAAATTGCATTCAATTGCATGTATATATGCATAATGTAATCCAGAAGGAAATTTTGATAGTTTTTCTAGTTTTATTCTCTCCCAAAACATTAGCCGTGATATTAATGTATTTCATGTTATCTTCAGTTATAGTTTTGGTATCATATCCTTGAAGATATATGCCATTAAAACTCAACAAATTTCTTTTTGATTTTGGAGAGTATACAACATTATTAATGACAAAATTTGTCCCATTTGGTAATATGAACGTAGCATTATCTGTTTCTTCTATCAAATCTACAAGATCTGAGGTTGTATTTATTACATCTTTAGTAGGATTTATTTTAGTAAAATATTTCTTACTTTTGAGGATTGTATGTGTAGGTCCACTGTCCAGAATGCAAATGTCTTTAACATGTTCCATGTCTAACCCTTTCGAAATAGAAATAAGATTAAATAGAGAGTAAATCAATAACATATTTAACATTATTATATTATGCAAACATAAGATATACATACAAATTCTTAAGACGATACGTAATTCAAATGTAAAATTAATACAAGCAGATTGCTCATTATTCAAATAGTTATTTAATTCATTGGTCCTTCAACGAAATCAACAGTCTCAAAATAGGTACTATCATCTCTGAGTTCAATTTCATTAAAATTCACCTCTTTCCCCTTTTTCTCTAAATATGCCATTTGTCTTTTACACAAATGTTTTGGTGTCCTGCACACCTTAGACCAGTGGCCTTTCTTTCCACATTTGTAGTATACATCTTCATAATTTCTCGAGGAACCTTCTTGGATATACCTACCATTTACTTGGCAATTTCAATTATCTCGGTCATATCTGGGATATCTATAATTATTCATATGACCTCATCCACGTCCTCTACCACGAAAATAGTTTCTACAGTGGAAAAGGTTTTGGCCATGGTATCTTCCTTGACTATGACCATCAAAACGAGCATGACCTTTATTACCATCAAAATGAACATGTCCACCATGTCTCTTAATATGATTAAATCCACCACGCCCACGATTAAAGGTTGTAGCGTTTATTTCAGGATATGCAATTGTTCATGTGGGTCGTGTCTGGTGGGTTTTTTATAAGTAGCTCGTTATTTTGTTCAGCCACTAGAAGGACTGCAACTAAATCATAATACTCAGCAAATTCCCTCATTCTATATTGTTGTTGCAATAATACCTGGGATGCATGGAAAATTGAAAAAGTTTTTTCCAAATTTTCTTTTTCAGTTATAATTTTGCCACAAAATTTTAGTTGTGCTATAATCTGGTGCATGGCAGAGTTATATGCAACGACACTTTTGTAATCTTGGAACCTCAACTTATTCCACTGATCCATTAATGAGGGTAATAGGACTTTCTTTTGATGTTCAAATCTTGCTCTAATTTTGTCCCATAAAATCTTGAAATCTTGAGCATTTGAATATTCGGTTTGCAATCCATCATCAAGATGGTGTTGGATTATTCTGTTCACTTTTGCATTTCTTTTTTCCATTTCATCTGGGTCGTCTGTCAATTTTCCAGAATTGTCTCCTTCAAGTGTTTTTTTAAGTCCCTTACATGTAAGATATTCAATTAAATTGTTGTTCCAGATTATGAAGTTGCCCCAAATTATGCTTAGAATTTTAAATTGATGCTTAAGATTTGACATGATTATATCTATAATTCAGATGAACATAAACGATATTTAATACATAAGCTAAAAAAAACAATTTATTCAATTATAAAATTCGTTACTACATATTATTCAAAAATCTCTACTAATAAACCAAGCTAAGACTAGTAATGGTAAGACGATAATTATTATCAAAGCTACAAAATCATTACCTAATTCTTCACGTTTGATAACACTGATAATAAACAAAATAATTATAAGTAGAGTGATGAACAAAAGAAGAATTTTAGCCATTTGAAAAATATGGGTAGAAGTTTTGAGAATGATGTGAAAATTAAGGAAGAAGTTGAAATATTTATAGAGATAAAAATTTTTTATTTGAAAAAAAATAGCCGTTATATTATCGTTGAGGAAAGGGAAAAGGTTAAGTGTGAAAGAAAAATATTATCTAGCCAAAATTTAACTGTGTAAAAACTAATAATTATATGGTCGTTATAAGTGTTGGGAACAATTATCATAACATATAAGACAAAAAAACACATATGATAAATATTAGAATATACATATGAGGTTTTAGACCTCCATTAAATATAAAAACTAGTAACAACATGGGGTTTTAAACCTCCACTAAATATAAAATTTAGTAACATCATATGGGGTTTTAAACCTCCACACAAAATATATAATAAGAATAGTTTTACTTATTATAGAGCACTTGACGAGTTGTCAGATTTCTATAAGAAGAAGTAAAGTAATAATAACAATAACAGCCACTCTAGTTATAAATTACTTGACTGATTGTCAGTTTTCTATAACTGGGGTAAATAATAATAATAATAGTAATAGCCACTCTAGTTATAAATCACTTGACTGGTTGCTTGTTTTCTATAATTGGGGCAAATAATAATAATAACAGTAATAATAGGATTAAAGTAATAAGTATAGAATATATACCTAGTGTAGTAAAAACTTTCGATAGAAACGACCGTGCTGATAACGTGTTGAGATAAGGCGAATATTTGAAACAAAACTAAGAAAATTAAGAGATAGAGGATACTATGAAAGTGTATTATATGGCTCAATTTTTTTTTGTGTGTTTTTACATATACCCAATGTGTGGTATTTATAGTATTAGATTCTAACTATTACTGAATGAAATAATACATGTTATTATGCTCTTGTTGAAACTTTTGCATGTAGTGGATATTTACTATTCATGAGTATTTCAAAATAATAATAATAATTACTCATTATATATATATATATATATATATATATATATATATATATATATATATATATATATATATATATATATATATATATATATATATATATATATATATATATATATATATATATATAAGTGTACACGAATCAATTTGAGTTGAATTTAGCTAAAACCATAACCCAACTCGTATATGGTATACTGATTTAGGTGAGGTAAAATAACCACCCGTTATATTATTGGATAGATTTCGGCAAAGCTGTAAATTTGTGGGTTGAATTGATTCGGCCCACGCATGCCTCGGGCTTTTCAGGGTCGGGTCCAAAAAACATATTTTTAAATGGGCTCTAGTTTTACTACTCAGGTCCAGTCTTGTCTGGGATGCGGGATTTCCGACCCTAAACGGACTCATTTCTAAAGAAATTAAAATGTTCTCCTTATTTTTGTAAGTAATCATGTAATTCCATGCAATAATACCTGTATAAATATTAAATTTCATAAATATTTCAAAATTATGATTTCTAAATAAGGATTTCTCATATCCAAAATTAGGATTTCTAAATAATCTATATAAGTTAACAATTAAAATGTAAAACAACACATTAACTTAA